GCTTTTTTTTCTAGGTACTTGGGCCTGGGCCTAACCGGGCCGGACCCGGTTCAATGTTCATTTTTTTTTTTGGCTTTCTTGTTATCCCCGACCCCCCCTCACCCCCACCTCCAAACCTCCCCAAAACATCCAGCCCTACCCTAGGAAAAGAAAAAATTGGAAAAAAAAGCTCGGGCCGGTTCAACAAAAATGCGGCCCGAGCCCGGCCCGCCCGACCCGCCAAAACGGGCTAAAAGCCCGGAACCGGCCAATCGGGCCCGCACAGTACTGGGCCGGTCCGATTCCGGGCCGGTTCGGCCCGGCCCAGTCCATCCCTAATTGAAACATACAAATAAAATAAATACATAAATAATTCAAAACAAATAAACATGCCTGTATGTTTGTGAATATGATCTTTTTTCAGACTTTCAGATAAGTACATGAATATATGAACAAACAGGCTAAATAAACATTGAATCTCTACAAAATTATAAGCATGAATTCTCTACAAAATTATAAGCATGAATCAATGTAAGAATATTTTGGGTATTAAAAATTTGTTGGTAGTACATCATAGCTTAATATACGTGTATCGTCTGATTAAAGCATTGCACAGTGTTTAGTCTCTTTAAGTTCAGGAACAAACGGTTCACACATTCCGTTAGTAAAACTTCATCTCTAGAATCTCTACTACCTTCTGAGTTCTGACCCATGACCCATATAATTTAGCATAAAGTTAACTCTCACAAGTCACAACCCACCCCACCCAGCTCAGAGGAAGCACGCACACTAGGGTTCCGCACCAGGCTTCTTTCCCTTCATCTTCAATGTCCGGTTAAGTTATCATTTTTTTCTTTTAATGTTGATTGGCACAAGACGATAGAGCAACACAGATTTGACACGTTATTATGTTATATGTCCCACACCGGAAAATTGAGAAGTGCTATATTAAGCTTCGCGGTACTCCTCCTAACAGGTTGACCTTTTAGAATGGAACCCCGAGTCTTAACATGGTATCAGAGCCAAATCGATCCATGATATGGGATCCCTTATGAAAAATGATGACATGATAAAAAAAGAAAAAATGGAAAATAATAATCCCAACTATTGTCGTTACGCCAATAATAATACCAACTATCGATTATTCCAGTGTGGTTCCAACTATAGGGACCATTTTCCAAAAATAGCCCCTAACCTGCTACAACCTGGTATAGCAGGTCAAATTTAAATGTGAACTATGCGTAAGCTATAAATAATCCCAACCATAGTCGATCTTCTTTTATTAATCCCAATTATCAACTCTCAATTTTAAAAAAAATATAATAATGTTTTAATAAATTTCTAAATTAAATATTTTTAAACATGTAAAAATAATTATGAAAGTTCTACAAATGTATCGAAGTTAAATAAAAATATTTTTAGTCATTTTTTATTTATTCTCACTAAAATTTCATTTTTTTCTTTTTTCCAATTTATTTTTCCTAGTTTTGTTAACAAGTTATGATTTTTTATTATTTTCCTTTATTCAAATTTACATTTTGTGTTTTTAAAAAGTATATTGTGATTAAAAAAATTACGATTTAAATCTTTATTTTAGATTTTTTTTCATGAAAATCGATTTTATTAAATTGTTATGCTATCTTAATTGTAAAAATAAAAATTCTCTATTTTTTCAATTTTAGTATTTTTTATTTTTTTCTATTTTCTTTATTTTATGTTATTATATTCTATAAATTATATGATATAGTTTATCATTGACTTCTAGTGATTCAGGACATAGGATATGGAGCTTTTGGCTATGTTAATGAAAATGTATTAATATTTTAATTTTAAGCGATACACTTTTTCTACATATTTTACAATTTCCATTATATCATTTAAAATTACAATATTAATACATTTTCATTAAAAATAGCCAAAATCTCCAAAACCTATGCCCCAAACCACAAAAATTAAACGATAAACTATTTCATATAATAATATTAAAAAATAGAAGAAATTACAAATACAAAAATGGATAAAATAGAGAATTTAGATTTTTAGAAAAAACATAGCATAAAATTTAAATAAATTATATTTTTATGAAAAAAACTAGAATAAAGCTTTCAATCATAAAAAATTTAGTCACATCTTACTTTTTGAAAACAGAAATTGTAAAATTGAATAAAGGAAAATAATACTAAATCATAACTTGTTAACACAACTGGGAATAATAAATTGGAAAAAAGAAAAAAATAGTGAAAAAAAATAAAAAATGACTAAAACTATTTTATTTAACTTTGGTGCATTTGTAGAATTTTCATAATAATTTTTACATGTTTAAAAATATTTAATTTAAAAATTTATAAAAATATTTTTATATTTTTCTAAAATTGAGAGTTGATAATTGGGATTAATAAAAGAAGATCAACTATAGTTGGGATTATTTAGAGCTTATGCATAGTTCGCATTTAAATTTGACCTGCTATACCAGGTTGTAGCAGGTTAGGGAGTTAGGGACTATTTTTGGAAAATGCTCCCTATAATTGGGACCACCCAGGAATAATCAATAGTTGGGATTATTAATAGCGGACCGTGACGACACGATCCAGACGAAGTGTCAGGGCGTGAGGAGGGGTGTTAAATGTCCCACACCGGAAAATTGAGAAGCATTAGAGTGCTATATTAAGCTTCGCGCTACTCTTCCTAACAGGTTGACCTTTTAGGATGGAACCCGGAGTCTTAACATATTACTATCCACCATTCTCCAATACAAAGTCAAAATGATAGAAATCCTTGAATGGTACTACGTATTGCATAATTCATGTAGCCCCTTCCCATTATGTTCGATTGTTGCACAGTGGTATACTGGAAATGGTAAGAGTGGAGTGGTATAAATTTGCATTTGAGTAATTCTGTGATACTGGTTTTTAACATAAGTTTAAAGCTAGCCCTTCATTTTACCCACTTCAGCTAAAAGACACCTGCTACTAGAGCTCTTTTAGTTATAAAAATATATCAAAAGTAGTTAGTTAAACTAGGAGAACTCTAATTTAAATTAGGAGAATTTATATCTACATTCGGATGCTAGATCATGCCTAGCTTGACTTTATCTTGCTTGATATATAGTTCTCTGTATATAAAGATGTCAATAGTACTTTAGTAGAACTCCCTACCAGTTTCAACAATTCCTTGAAGTTTTTGTGCTTTAGAGTATTTTATATTCCCTGTAAATGCATAAACATGTTTGTTTTTTGTTAATCATTTGCCTCTGAATAACATGTTTGTTTTTTGTTTGAAATATGGTTAGTACGAGAAAGGTCAGCTAAATCAACACTAGGCTAGCTATGTTTTTAAATCTTAAATGACCCGGTATTGCTTGGAATGTAGTTTTATGTTTTGTTTTACTTGTATAATATAACACGACTTTATTTCGTGTGGATAATTGTATAAGTGTCATCCAAATCATTATAATATATATGTGTTCATAAGTCTATGTATGTATATATCTGTGTGTGTATTCATCGTCGTCGACGACAACAATTCGAAAGCTGACAACTTCCATTACGCCGGTTCAGTAAAATACTAAATTAAACTGCAAATTCAATTTCATCTACAAATACCAGACTCGCCTTGTTCAGGGACGAGGTGAAAGATGATAACTTTTTAGTATTTCCCTCCTGCCCCTTCAAGAAAGATTGGAAATTTGTTCAAAAATAAATAAATCAAATTTAATTGAGTATTTGAGTTCAACAAACATATGTATACTAGCATTAGATATATACCATATAGATGGAGAAATTAGAAAGATGAAAAATAACAATCTAAACGTGTGAGCAAACAGGAAGGGATCCGGAAGACATCTACACGAAAAGAAACGAGAGATAGAATTGAATGCTTTTTTGCGTGCATATAAGGATATAAATAAATACCAGGCTTCGAAATTCGATAAAGTTTATGATTCTCATCGTTCCAGATGTCTCTTTTTAAAAATCGAGCACCTCGACCTTCTCAAATAATTCTTTACTCCTCAATCCATGACTAATTTTAGTCGGTACAAGAATTTAAAAGTAAAAATTGTACTCATTCCTTCTCTTAAAATTTTGTAAGTTTTGATCGACACAAGAATTAATAAATTAAAAACATAACTCATACTAAATTCATTCCATTTTATGTGTCCTATGTTGATTTGGTATGATTATTAATAAAGTGATTGAAAAATTAAAGTTATAGATGAGATTTAAGTATAGTCAAGTGAAATGTCATGAACCACATAACTCGTACTAAGTTCATCCCATTTTATGTGTCCTATGTTGGTTTGGAAAATGATTTGGTAAACATGATTTTATGTTTTCCTTTCTCTAGTTTTCCAACAATTTTCTTTAGTAAACACATTTTCTGTTTTTCTTTTTCCGGTTTTCCGGTTTTCTGAAAAACTGGAAAATATCTCTATTAGTAAACAAGCCCTGAATGTTTTTCGGGTGATGCACATCTTGAAGAAGTGTCAGTGATTCGGGTCCGGGCCGGGTCCGGCTCGGGCCTAGGCCCAGGCGGACCGATGGTTCAGAAATGGTGGACCCGGGACCGGCCCGGGTAACCACCGGGTCCGGGCCGAGCCAGGCCCATTATCATTTTTTTTGTTTTCCTCTTCCTAATTAACCCCCCTCCCACCCCCAACCCCCCAAACCACCCCAAATGGCCCAAAATACCCAGCCCAACCCGAAAATTTAAAAAAAAAATTGAAAAAAAAAAGTTTTTGGCCCGAACCGGGCCCGCCCCGGCCGGGTCGGGCCTTGTTTTGGGTGACCCGAGCTCGGACCGGAAAAACCATTGGCCGGACCTACCCGGACCGGTCACTGACCGGGCCACCGGGTCGGGCCGGGCCGGAACAGTACCGGTTCCGGGTCAGGCCACCCGGCCTGAGTCCATCCTCTAAGTGTCACAATGAGCGAATCTTATTGAATTTACACAACGAATAGAATCATGAAATGAAAAAAAAAACGTTTTAAATAATAAACTAAATGACGTAAAAATTCAATGACAATGATCAGCAGAGAAAAAAAACACAAACTTTTACTTTTTTAGATAATAAACCAATCCACCGATTATTACAAGAAATGAAGAAAATAAATTAGCAATTGGTTAAAAAATATGGTTGGTAAACCAAATAATGAATGTCCCCAAATGGAAAAAGATTGTACTGAATAACCAATCTAATGTAAGAGCTATATAAATCCCTAATGTACAGTCGTAGAAATGCAAAGGTTTCCCTCGATCTGTCATCTTGAACCAGAGCAAAAATGGTATATTTCTTTAAGTGGAATGTTTACTCAGTAGTAACACTCTTGGCGAGATTCCGAGGTTGGTCAACATTGTATCCGCGTAGAACCGTAAGATGATATGCCAATAGCTGTTATAAGAACAAAGTATTAGTTCTCAATTCTCAGTATCCCCACTCACCCTGAAAAGAGAATAGTAATTCATTCATTTACCTGCAGCGGGACTATGTTAATTACCGGCTGCAAACAGTCCTCAACTTGAGGAACCTCAGTGACACGGCATGATCCGCTAACACGAACAGATGCTGCATCTCCTTTTGTACACATCACTATTAATCTACCTTTCCGGGCATGGAGCTGCTGAATCACTGATTGTTGTTTGCTGTATTGAAACGTTGAATATATCAATATATAGAAGTGTACAAAATATAGAGCTCGTCTTGTAACCTCACGTTTTGTCTTATCGGTTAAATTTTTCACCCAACATTAATCCATTCAACTGCGTTTGCTGAATAATAATGAAGGGGGAAGTAGTGCAAGAGGTACTAATTTGGCTGAGATAGTTAAATACTTCGTATTACATTTCAACCTTCATATTTTCTATACCATTTTCATAAATTATTTAGGAAATACGGAGTACTTCTTATATTTTAGATATTAAGCTCTTTTATCCACAAGTTTAGAAATTAAAAAGATTCATCAATTTAATTGATGTAAGCCGTAAGGCCTTACCAAACGAGCTCTAAGTGACTTCAGATTTATAAACCTAAGAGTTGTTGCACAGCATACTAATTGGGTTTAGAAACATTATTACTTTGTATAAATAAACGTTGTAATAGTCTTCAAAAAACTGGTTTATATCCATGAGATTCATGTTTTTATCCACAACGGAGAATAGACAAACCTGAAACAACTGTCATGAGTGGCGATAACTAAAATAGGGAGGTTTTCATCAACCAAAGCTAAGGGACCATGCTTCATTTCACCAGCAAGGATTCCTTCACTATGCATAAGAGATACTTCCTTAACCTTCAATGCACCTTCAAGTGCTGTTGCATAATTGTAGCCTCGTCCAAATACAAGCAGTGATTGCTCAGCTATCAGCAGCTCAGCAAGATCTCTCATTTCTTCATCAAGCTTCAGAACCTCTTTTACTTTTGCTGCAATTAGAGATAGGCAGACACATAGACAAATGGGTACCTCTTCACAATGTCTTTGTTTCTTAAATACATTAAATGCACAAGCTTTTTATGTTTCTTTTTTACTGCAGGGGTCTGGGGGAGGGGGGCTGGGGGCCTGGAGTAATCAGGGTTGAAACTCATTCCATTGAGTTTCAAACCCTTATGTGTCTAGCGGGTTTCGAACTCGAGACCTCCCACTAGGCACGGTAACCTCACAACCAGCTGGGCTGGAATGCTTGGTTGCTTTTTATGTTAAAAAAGGACAACAAAGAAGATAGATTTGCATACAAGGCAAGTCAAATAGACCGTCAATTATTGCTTCTCTTCTTGCTTGATTAGAAAGTGTGTCACCTCCTATTGCAAGTGCCAGCATAGCCATCACTACAATTTGGCTTGTGTATGCCTGCAGATCAAGACGACAAATGATGTAATTGAAATTCAGAATAAAATCCACTGTTGTCATTCAATTAGCACAACTCATTCCAGAGTTATCATCAAGACGTAACCTCACACTTATATACTAAAACTCAAATTCATTATACAACTGATTCAAGATACAAAACACTCCCTCCACTTTATAGGGTATCAAAGGGACGGATGCCCTGCAAACTATCTTTGGACCAAGCTCCTATCTTGAATTAAATTAGACCAAACAAGCCCAAAAGGACTACCCAAAAAATTGTTAAGCTCACACTTAAATACTAGACTCAACCTAGGATACTACCTAATGAGGCTTGCATGGGTAAGCAAAGGAACACATAAGCATCAGAGGGGACTGACCGATAACTGATGAAGATAAAAGTCATAAAACGCTGGCAACCAAAAGAAGCTTAGCACCGGCACTAGAGTAAGCAAAGCAATACATAGGCATCAGAGGGGACTAATTCAGATAAAAGTCATAAAACGTTGGCAACCAAAGGAAGCTTAGCACCGGACTAGGTGGGAAATCATAGAACAGGGGTAAAAGTTAAGCAGGAGGGCAATGTGATGTATACCTTAGTACTTGCCACGCCGATCTCACAGCCAGCATTTATATGCACACCACAGTGAGTTTTCCTGGCAATTGCACTACTAACAGTATTTGTAATACCAACACATAATGCACCATTTCCGAGGGCATACTCTAGTGCTTGCAAAGTATCTGAAGTTTCTCCGGACTGACTAACAAAGACAGCAGTATCTTCCCTGTATATCGGCCCTTGCCTGTCAACCAGATCACTTGCAATCTCCATTGTGACGGGAATGCCTGGAGGACAAAACATGACACATAAACAAAAGAAAATGCCAAATACAATTCTTCATAGGAGTTACAATGGACCTAAACTCACCTCAAAACAAGTGAGATGTACCACACCCTTACATAGTAGACTCATACCCAATAGATATATGATGTGGGAAACTCAATAATAAGTAAGACTAGCCAACAACTAACCAGAAAGTTCTTCTACAATCGATCTTGCAGCTAAAGCTGCATTATAACTTGTGCCACAACCAATGAAAACGATCCTTCTGCTTCTCCTTATCGTTCTAAGGTGATCCTTCAAGCCCCCTAACAGTACAGATCTGGCTTTACTTGATCCTCCTCGTATAAGCCTCCCTCTCATTGTGGTTGTCAAAGAGTCTGGCTGCTCATGAATTTCTTTTTGCATATAATGCTCATATTTTCCTTTATTTACTTGCTCTACTTCCATCAGAAGAATGGATAAGGCACGTTGAACAGAGCCAGAACGAGCAAGAGTATTACCATGCTTTTTTGTCCCGTCAAACTTGTAGATTGAAGCACCTCCATCCTGAATAAGACCACATCAAAAGTCAAGAAAATAATATTGGTAACAAAAATGTTGAAGGCCCTAAGTGAATGTAAGACTAAAGAAATACAAACAATACTCCATATTGTCTGTAAAGGTTATGCATATTTTGAAAACCATTATTGAGAATTTTTGAAAAAAAACATAAAATACGTTTATGTAAATTAATAACTCCGGTCCATACTCTTTATCTCCAAGAGGAAAATAAACAGTCATTGACACTAGAAAATTGCACCTAACAACTCAACAACTCTTTACATCAAGGACATGCTACACAGTTCTTATTCTCTACATATGTACTGTGCACAAAATTTCAAAACACACTTAGGCTTTTTTCATATAAGCCCGTGCATGTTCCCTAAAAACTCCAAGCGCAAACTGTGCTGAAAGTAAGTCAATTATTCAAAAAGTGTCAATTGCTTCACTAGACTACCTTAAACCAGCAAGGTTACCACATGAATTAGCAGCTTAACTTTGGTTAGTTATCAGAAGATTGATATGATATTGAAGTACTAAAGACAGTACACCTTGATATGAATGACTTCATCATCCTCAATTACCAAGACCTTCTTCGTGTGTTCAACTAGAGCATTGGCATCACTCGAAAAGAATAACTCCTTTGGTTGCCCATTGTTTGAGAGAACTTTAGGATCACTAAATGATGCTCCACTGGCAGCCTCTTCTCCCAAGTCCTTAGATTATGCATATATGTTATTCATGAAAAAATTAGAACATCCATAGAAATATAAAAATGTGTGTGAGTGAAATCCAGCCCTTGGATTTCCCAAACTTCACCAGACAACTAGTTTCAAAATCAAGGATTTATTGACAAAGCAAAAGAAAAGTGCAACATAGGTCTTATAGAAGTATTTTCCTACATAAGACCATAACCTGTACTCAAAGCAAGAACTTAAGACAACCGCAACTTACTTTTGCACCAAGAAGAAGTGGGCTGCCACGCTTGCATGCAACCAATTCATTTGGGTAATGCCGACTTTTGAATATGAGAGCATAAGCTCCTTCTAGATGTCTCATTACTTCAAGTACAACTTGACTGAATGTCACACTTTCATCACCTGTAGAAAAGATAGAGTGATAGACAATTCTTATTCGGCTGTTCCACTTAAGATCACTTGTGATTATTATAGTTCTTTATTAAACATCAGAAGTAGAACATAAAGCAAAAATGCAGCAGGTCTAATCAGGCAATAATGTTTTATGGGGTATCAACCTTCTTCATTAGCTTTATCAAATACATACTTTGCAAGCTTAGGAATCACTTCTGTATCTGTTTCCGATTCAAAGGTGAAATCATGTCGGATCAAAGTCTCCTTCAAAGCCTGCAGAATAAAGAGGCAGAAGAGAGCATAAGTGCATATAAAGTAGATTATCAAAAACTTTGTGTCTGCATGCTAGATTGTGGCATTGCCACATAACCTTGCAAATAATGACAGAGTATTAAATTCAATACAGTTCACTTCGGTTTAGACTAAAAACCAATTACAAACATTCACGTGGGACTATGAATATCTTATTCAAGAGAGGAGGGGGGGGGGGGGGGGGAGAAACCTCATAGTTGGTGATGACACCATTGTGAACAACCAAGAAATCATTTCCAGGACCAGAGGATTGAGGGTGGCTATTCTTAGAGGCTGGCTCCCCGTGTGTTGCCCAACGAGTATGCGCTATTCCAGCATGAACAGAAAACGATTCTCCCAAATTTAGGTCTGTAGCTGCCACATCTGAAAACATAAAGCAGCCATTAGTGCAATAAAAATATATACAATAAAATGTGAACTCTTTAATCCCAAAGAGTCGCAGCAATAACTGAAGACAAAAAGGGTAATTCAGTAGGAGTTTTTTCATAGCAAGAAAGCATAAAGCATTACCATGGTAGACGGATTTGACCAATGATTCAATATTACCCTCCTGCCGGAAGACGAGAGGAGCAGAGGCAGAACTGGAATCGGCATCAATGGAAATTCCGGCAGAATCGTAGCCGCGATACTCCAAGCGCCGAAGGCCATTGAAGAGAACTTCAAGAATGTGGCCCCTCTCTTTGCTAACATTGTAATTCAAGTAAGCGAAAATTCCACACATCGTCTCTCTCGCACAATTCCAAGGTGATCTGATATGAAAGATTTAGCCTAATTTGAACAACGTAGATAAATCAGCATATGCAATACATAAACATTTATTTGTGTGTATGTTGAATGAAAGTGAAACTCTGACCAATTGGCTCCAAAAGGTTGAGCTCTGACTTTTCGGAATGGGAGATTTTGGATATAATGATGCAGCAAGGGTGATATGTTAATATATGATTGGCCATGGCAGCTTTATTTTGCAAGTTTTTTGGCTTTTTTTAATTCTTATTTACTTTTAAGAGAGGAAGTTAGAAGCAGGAAAGACTTGAGATGAAACAGGGACCTTATTCTTTGTCTGAATTCTGGAAATAGATTGTTTTACTAGTCTTTAACCTGGGCGTTGCACGGGATAAAATTTACATAGTTGCATATCTTGTTATGATGTTACATGGCCTTGCTAGAATTTGGGGAAAAAGTCAATGTAAAAAACATAGTTAGTAACATAATAGAATTTATAAATAAGTATATTGAAAGGACTAATAATGAGGTCAAATATAAGTCCATGTAACAAAAGTTGTACCTTACAAATTAGTATAGGTTGTAAATTTGTTCCAATAACTGTTTTTACCCAATTGTCCTTAAGGAATTTTATAGAAAAATTACCTAATTGGAAGCAATACAGAATTGTATAAATAAACGTGCATAGTGGTGGAATTTGATCCATGTGCGTGGTTTGCATTATGTACATCATTTGGCACAATAACATTAGTTTTTCTTGGATAGCTTGATTAGCACAAGATTATAATATTCCCTCCGTCCCTATATAAAATATATGTTTCCTTTTTGGGCTTTACCCAAATAAAAGTCTCCTTTCTATTTTAGGAAATAAAATTCACACAAAAAGACCTTGATACCCTCATTTAATTTCTACCCTTACCTCTTTTCATTTACTAATCCCACCGCACTACTCCACCTTTTCGTATTCCACCCACTTCGTTTACTTCACCCACTCACACCGCTCCATCTTTTCGTATTCCACCTTCTCCATTTACTTCACCCACCCATCTTCCCCTCTTCGTATTCCAACTTCTCCATGGCAAAACCAGGTGCTACAGACGAAGTGGAACAGAAATGATTGGAAGATGCAGAGGTGGACACCGCTGTTGTTCCAGACTCCGAAGATCCCTTGGTTGGATCCCCGATTTGGCAGTCGTCGTAGAGTCAACCAAACATGATTCAATGCAATAGAACTGAACTGAGCATAAGCACTTTCCACCCCCACTCTGAGATCATGAACTTAGTTCCTTGGTGTGGTCTGTTGCAATGACTGAATAGCTCTAAAGAACCCTAGATCCAAAACATATAGATCAGGGCTATTAGGTGTGGTCTGTTGCAGTTCCTTGACTACCGCCTTTCAAGGTATCATTCCAGATACTAATGGTAGGCTTCCCTCCCCTCGTCGGGCTCCGTGCATGCCCCAACGAGGAGAAGAAGCACCTATTCAACCACGAGGAATTTCTCCACCAGCCAGGTCTCAACGATCCCGTCACTCTAGGCAAACTCCGAAGGCCTCCGTGATGGATCGGGTGGGAGGATGGAGGATATCTGTCCATGACAGAATCTCCTCCAGGGCTGAGCTGAGTGAGGAAGCATCATCTGCGGCTGTCTCATCCCACTGCCGCAGTGTGCGTGGGGGAGATCTCAGGGACGAGATCACCGCTAACAGGCAGGCCCGTGAAGATCATTTTTTAACACAATGATTTAACAATTGTGCCATTTTTTACAAATAATGAAATTTTATGGTGATCACAGCTAGATTTCTAGACGAAGGGGGAAATTTAATCAATTGATATGTTTGTGGAATACGCATTAGTGTATGGATATCATTTCATCCTATAGGTTTATGCTCTATCACATAGCACATCTGTAGACAAACTTTTATACTGCCCAGAAATCATGAGCTTTGCATAGCAGTATTTTCAATAGGAAAATAGCTATGCAAAGTGCAAACAAAACAAGATCCAGAATGAAGACATATGAGAAACCAAAAACTGAATGATAATAACCAAGAAAACAAAACAAAAACAAATGTTTAGACTTTAGACATTCATAATACAAACTTGAAAACTAAACTGATGGATTCATCACAAATTGGTAATCACAAAACAAAGCCTGCCAAAATCCTGATCTAACTTTCGGAGAGAAGGGGGGTGCATATCATTATATCTTGATGAAAACGGTGTTACATTCTTCTAACAGGATAGTACCCATTGAAACATACAAATAAAATAAATACATAAATAATTCAAAACAAATAAACATGCCTGTATGTTTGTGAATATGATCTGTTTCAGATAAGTACATGAATATATGAACAAACAGGCTAAATAAACACTGAATATATGTAATAAAACTATATAATATAAGACATAAACCTAAGCACCCGCCTCTCAGCCTGAAATATATAAATAGATATTTCTCTCTGCTGCCAAGGTACTTGTCAAGTGTCTTATTTTTAGTCTATGAGTCTATCATTTATAAACATCTGGAAACCTTTTATTCTTTGTAAATTGTAACTATGGAGAGTGGGCATTTCTATGTACTTTAGATGAGTTACGTACTCACATTGTTACTTATCGGAAAAAATAGTGTATGTTCATACAATAATCATTGGCTTAGAGATAAAATGAATTTAAAATAGTTCATTTTCTGTCTAATATAAAATAGTTCAATTTCTATGTACTAAATCAGTTTATTGGATGCTATATTTTATAAGGGTAGTATAACAAGCATTGAAAGTTTAGCAGTAAACTCTAACAAGTATATTAACAAAATTATGTAAAGACTGAAAATATCCCATACAGAAGCTCCCCAGCCCCCCAGCCCATAGATGCTTATTTTACTTTTTGTGTGTATACTCAGTCAGTTTGTTATATAAAATCAGTTTGTTATACAAAGGTTTCTGTGAAACGTTTTACATAGTAATGCTTATGAGTTATGGCTGTAAATGATGTATCACACATTATCTCCTTGATCTTTATCAATAACATGATCTTTATCAATAACATGGCAAACGAAATCTTTGTTTCTTAGAATGGTTTCAGCTATAGTACCACAAGCAGTATTTCATTATTTATTTCTTCAAAATGTTTTGCTTAGCAATAGAAGCTATAAATAACACTTCTGAATTGCCATGTTAGTACTCTGAATTTCAACTGCTTGGTTATAATGCTTCATCAACTTCATAGTTCATACAATAATAATTGGCTTAGAGATATAATGAATTTAAAATAGTTTATTTTCTGTCTCATCAAAACATAAATATCTACTTCTCTATTACACAATAGGTTTTGGAAAATCTATTAAGAAGCAATTAAGACTATGAATCACCTGTCCTAACTCCTAAAGCATACTCTTGTTTCCATTTTTTTATTTTTCTATAGCTGCGGATAGTTGGCAGGGAATACGGCTGCGGAGAGTCAAGGGGTGCGCAGCACAAGACAATAGAGACGAAGTATTACTTACCTTGTTAGGCCGGAGATGGTAGCTGGCGCCGGGCAGCGTAGATGGTAGCCGACAATCTCTTCCGTCTTCACCTCCTCTTCAGCCGTTCAGCACTTCGGCGTAGATCAGGGGCGGATCCAGGAATGAGGAGTGGGATGGGCTAAGCAGTAAAAAAATAAAAATTGTTGCTGCACAAAAAAAAATTATGTTAGGATTGCAATTGAAGCGAACTTTTTTCAAACTACTCGAATTCGAGTATGATTTCAAATTTAATTAAACGACCCGAGCTTAACGAGTTTTAAAATCGAACATGAGCTTGATTTTGAGTTCGAATAGTTATTCAAGCCGAGTGAAAGCATAGTTTGATCCGGACCCGAGCCTATCGAGTAGTATATCTTAACATTACAACATTTTTAGTGTGATTTTATAAATTGATTAGTGGTTATTAAAGATTCTATTATTTATTAGTATGAATTAAAATACTTCAATAAAAGTATAAAACTAATAAGTAAAAACAAACGTTGTACATAAAATTAATAAGTATTCCCAATTTCAAAATTGAATTGAGATTTTTAATTTTTTTCTTACATGTCCAAACAAATCATTCTGTAATCTTCAATTGTGCAGATTTAGACTCCCTACAGATTTTTAATTTTTCTATATGCCCACACAACAAATAAATTATTTTCCAATGTTTAATGCTATCCTTAATCATTATAAATTTATAATAATAAACATTATTTTGTTGTGTACTGTAAAATTCAATTAATAATTAAATAGATTTACAAACCCAAAAATAATACTACGTAAGTAGTAATACTCAATAAACAACCCAAAGTCGCAAAACAATAAATTAAAACTTAAAAGTCTAAAAGAGTAATAAACTAATAAGACGTGGTCACCTAGAGGCTGGAGCTAGAGGCAGAACCGCAGAATCAGTTTCGCCGATTCGAAGAGGAGGGCTCAGAGCCGGAGAGGGAAGACGGACAACGCATGGGTGCAGGGCTCTGGATGCGTGGACGGCGGCGCGGAATCTGGCCGTATGTCGGTTGGTGCATGGTGTTCGTGGCTTCGTCCCAACTCACAACTCGCTTCGTCTCTTCAACCTTCTTTCTGCGCAAATGGCACGCAAATCGGCCAATTCGCATAAGACCGCAAGTCCGCAAGTCAGGTACCGGTAGCTTCAGGCTGGGGTGGGCTGGACATTGATTTTGGGATGGGCCGATAATTAGAGCTATACCTATACTAATAAAAAAATAAAAAATTGGGCTGGGCCGAAGCCCAACCCTTCCCTCATAGTGATCCGCCCCCCGCGTAGATGGTAGCCGATTGATATGTCCTTAGCTTGTGAAGTTTCCTAGCCTAATGACTGGAACAGGTGGGCCTGAATTTGACTTGGCCTTTTCAAAATTTATACTTCCTCCGTCCCTTATAACTTTGTCAACTTTCGTTTTTTGGATTTCCCATTAACTTTGACACTTTACTTTTTAAGTAAAGAATCTGTGGTTTCAGTTAATTCTCTCTTCTCTACACAAACCTCAACGACACAATTTTTACTTTATCAATCATCGTGTCGGTCAAACTTGGCAAAGTTATTAGGGACGGAGGGAGTATAATACTCCCGCTGTTCTTTATTATCTGTCCTCTTAGGTTTTGGCACGAGTTTTAAGAGGAAAATAATAGGGGCAGTGTAAAAGGTGTAGTGAGTTGTGGGTAAATGAAAAAGTAGGAAAGCGAAAGGGGTAATGGTAATAAAAGTGGGGGTTATAAAGGTATTTTGATTGAAAAAACTTACCAAAAAGGGAAAGAGAGAAATAATTAAAAACATCCCAAAAAAGAATATGAGACAGTTAAAGAACGGAGGGAGTAAAAATAAGAAAAAATTGAAAATAATAATCTCAATTATTGCCGGTCCGCTAACAATAATCCCAACTATTGATTATTTTTGTATAATCCCAACTATATAGACTATCTGCCAGTAATGGTCCATGACTAGATATTACCTCCTATAACAAGTGAATTTTAAATAGAATTAAGCGTAAAAATTAAAAGTTGAGATTATTTATAGGGATTACTTGCTATATATCTTCTCATCCACTTTAGAATTTATTTATAGCTGGTCACATCAGACCATTATTGACGGAAGGTACCTAAAGTTGAGCTTATTCTGAAATAATCGATAGTTGGGATTGTTATTAGCGGACCGTCAATAGTTGGGATTATTACTATCATTTTTTCCTAAGATAATGAATTTTATAAATAATACTCCCTTCATCCCAATTTACTTAGTCATCTTAGACTTTTCCAGTCAAAATGTTAAACTTTGACCAATTATTTAAACTAATATATTTATACAAAATTTAACAATTTTATACTTTTATGATTGTATTTTTAACAAAGAACATTTTCATATCATTTTCATATTATTAATATTTTCTCTATATAAACATATAATCGGTCAAAGTTAGACTTCATTGACTTGAAAAGTCAAGTTTAGCTAAGTAAAATGGGACGGAGGGAGTATATAAAATCGGTTCGGTTGAACAACTGACGTTTAGCATATCAAAAGCTGGTACCGAACCGAGGTAGACTTCGGGTCCCAATTTTCGGGTCCCAATTTTTTCAGTTCGGTTCGTTTCGGTTTTTTTCTTTGGCGGTTCAGTTTTTTTCGGGTTGGTTTTCGGTTTTTCGGTTCAAATTCCTAGCCCTGAGTAAATGTATGACAAGTGAGTTACATTTTCCATAACACGGGTTACATCATAACTAAACTCATGCTATTGAAACAAAACAAAAATTTTGCAAAAAAATGATTTGATGTTAAAAAATATATTCTTTTTCGGAAAAAATGATTTTTCTTTATAACATTTGATGGCCTTAATATTAAAAACAAAACATATTCACTATTTACGTAAATTAATTGAGCAATTAGACTCCTTGTTTTTATTGTTTACATTTGATTGTATACGAAGTTACATCTTCTAATGCACGAGTAACATCTTTTTATACCTGAGTTATATCTTCCTATGCGCGAGGTACATTTGGACTTGCATCAACACATTATATTTTGCATACACCTAAGTTAGATTTTCCAGCAACGCGATTTACATTTTCCATAACACGAGTTACATCACAAAAGAAACTCCTGCTATCGAAACAAAAATAATGATTTTTTGGCAAAAACAATTGATTTTTTAAAAAACATTTTTATATCCTTAATATTAAAAACAAAATATTTTCACTGTTTACATAAAATCAATGTTTTATTTATTGTACTCTATATTAGACAAGCTAAATTTCGACTTATTTACAATTACATTTCTTATCAACGTGAATTACATTTCTTTACACGCGAGTTACATCATCCTGGTTACTGGGACAAGAAATAAAACAAAAAAATATTGTTCACGTGTGTTACTGTTCATGCATGGTTTGGTTGTAGAAGCACCATGGTATATTTAATAATTGTTAAACAAGTGATATATTTAAGGAAATTTGTTTAATGCCTGATTATATGCTAACATAAGCTTACGACTTTGCCCAAATACTATTATCATTAATTTTACGCCTTAAAAGATTTGTTATCGATTGATGGCACCATGGACTTCAACCATGTCTCAATTACGGAATCATAGATCAAGCCCATAACGGGATCAAGCCCTCAGCGGGATTAGCCCATAAACGGGATTAGCCCTTGACGGGGCCAGCCCATAAACGGGATTAATATTAATTAGCCGCTGGGCCTAATTAGGAATCAGACCCACGACAGGACCCACAACAGGCTAGGCTGGGCAGCAGACCTCGAGCCTGGGCACAGTTCCAGTAAGGTCGAGATGTTCCTAGGGCTTAGGTGGCAAGCTATCATTCGTGCATACCTATCTGGGAGCAGGCAGGAATAACGTAAGGAACGTGGACTTAAAGGAACCATCATTGCCCAACGTCCAAAACGTTACAAGAGTCTTATTTGATTAAACATGCATTAATAGCATTTCTTGTATCAGTTTCCTCCTAGAATACTAGTTCCTATGGTCTATAAATACTTCCTGTAATCTTCCTATCAAAGGACTGAACTTCGAATAATAGAATACCGCCTTACGCTGCCATATTTTCATCAGCTCTGGTAGATATAGCTCTCGTAGTTGGATTAAACTCCATCATTTGGTGCTTTCATTGAGAGCAAGATTTACGAACGACGATGGTTGGATCACACAGCAATAACCGTGTGGGCAACAATATATCAAGGTGGCACTCGTTTTAACCAAGTCGTGATCGGGGACGAAGGGTCTAGGTCACGGCGGAGCGATTTCTGGAGGCGCAACGACAATTTCATGGCTCAAGGGGATTTGAGGAATTAATTGCATGGCGTTGGGGGTTTCAGGCGTATGGTGGTGAGACCGCCGCAGTTTCAGACGCCGGGTATCAGAAACCTCATCCCCAACGTGGATCCAGCACAAGCTTTGGCCAGTCTGGCGACGTTCCAGAGGGTGGTGGAAACCATGACTACCGCCATTCAAGGTATCATTCCAGATACTAATGGTAGGCTTCCCTCCCCTCACCGGGCTCCGTGCATGCCCCAACGAGGAGAAGAAGCACCTATTCAACCATGAGGAATTTATCCACCAGTCAGGTCTCAACGATCCTGACACTCTAGGCAAATCTGAGGGCCTCCGTGATGGATCGGGTGGGAGGATGGAGGATATCTGTCCATGACAGAATCTCCTCCAGGACTGAGCTGAGTGAGGAAGCATCATCTGCGGCTGTCTCGTCCCACTGCCGTGGTGTGCGTGGGGGAGATCTCAGGGATGAGATCAACACTAACAGGCAGACCCGTGAAGATCGCTGGTCCCCGCCTCATGCTCGAGCAGGGCGTGGTAATGATGACCTCGGAAGGAGACTGGACGAGCTCAGGAGGGAGGTGGACGGCAGGGTGAACCCCAATCATGATGTGAGGATTCCCTAGTCGTTCATGCGCCAGATTATGGATGCACCACTACCTCAAGGGTATAGGCCATGCAACATCGAGGCCTATCGAGGAAAGACCGACCCCCAGCACCATGTCTCCAGATACGTGGCTTACATGGTGATGATGGGGTACGATGATGCCATCAAATGCAGGGGGTTCTCATTGACTCAGGGGGTTCTCATTGACTTTGGATGGCCCAGCCCGGGAATGGTATGACTCATTACCTGATGGAAGGATTCAAAACTTTAGAGAATTAGCATGTGCATTTGTAGACATGTTTGCCAGCTCTAAAGACTCCAAAAAGAAATTCTCTCGGCTCTTAGGGATCCGACAAGGGCCCTAGGAAAGCTTGGTCGACTTCTTAGCTCGTTGGAGGGACGAATCGGTAAAGGTGGATGACCTGGATAACAAATTTGTCGTCGCCATCCTCACCAATGCCCTAAAGTCGGGTGAGTTGTACAAGGAATTTGTGCGCAACCCCCCGACCTCTCAGGAGGAAGCATTACTATGTGCCAATGCGCAGGCTGAGGTGGAAGAGGCTGAAAAACGGAAGAGAGATGAGGAGACTGGAAAGCGCCAGCCCGAAGATGGGAAGAAAAAGACTTCAGAAAGGGAAACCCACGACCCGAACAAGGGGAATGGGTCCAAGAGGAAAAAGAAGGGATGAGTAAAGAACAAATCGGGTGTCCCTGAAGGGCCCCTATCCAGCCAATCTAAATTTTCACCACTGACACATCCAGTTAGCGTTGTTCTGGACTATGCGGCCAAGCAAGGTTTGATGATGATCCTAAGGGCTGCAACGTTGTCAATAACTAGGCCGTCAAGGGTAAGTATTGCAAGCTTCACAAGAGTGATACTCATCAAACGGATGACTGCTACGTCTTGAAAAGTACGTAGACAGGCTTATCCTTGAGGGATAGTTGGATCAGTTCGTGAGGAAGAGTCGGCAGGACCAAACCCCTCAAAA